CCCCGCTATACGCATTCGCGCGCCCGCCTTCCTTCGGCGCGCGAATGCGTATAGCGGGGAGCTTACGCATAGCCAGCATCCCGCGGCCGCGTGCGCCCAGTCCCGCGGAAGTGCGCGGCTTAACCGCTTTCGGCGGTCGGGGAACAACGCATCTTTTGCGCAAGGCCAATTAGGCCATCTTGTATCCGGTCTCTCTGGATAATGCAATCGAGTTCTCGATAGTTCAACTTTGTCGCGCAGGCAGACAGCAAAGGTAGATTTGTTAGCCGTGGCATATGAGTATGCTTGTTTCAATATGAGGTAGATCAGCTTTTATATCACGTGTATTCATATTATTGTTATGTGTGTGTATGTATGTATATATTTGCTAAAATATACAGAAGACAGATTTTGTGTACCTATATCTTCAATCGTAATGGTGTTTTAGTCTGTAGACACTGTGTGAAAAGGACTCAGGATGACAAATTTGTGGGGTCAAGTGTCAAAGGTCAAGTGTGAGAGTGTAAACGGAGGGGGAATATTTCCCCCTTAACTTAAGGTATAGGAGGAAATACGGAATTGCGGCAAAAATCTGAACGGCTCGACCTATGCTCTTAATATTCGGTGTATATTGTGATGGGCAGGAAACCCATCACCAGTGCGAAATTAGAGGTCACAGGTCAAAGGGCAGTGGGGAAAAGTTCAGATATCAGACATTTTCTGAGGACATTGCCTAGTGGACAGTGAAAAAAAAATTTGTTTCAGCGCTGACCCACCATTTTTATCACTTTATTGAAAGGACCATGAAATGTGCTTTCCACTGACGTGCGAAGAGTAAGTGTCTGATAACCTTTTGACCCTCAAGAGGAGGGTTAAACATGGATTCCTGAACTGCCTCAATGACGTGACAGTGTTGTCATATTCATGGCACATACATAATCTAGAAACCCGATAAGCCTGTATAGCCGAACGTGTAGAGCACGTCCGTGACGGCTGAAAGGTCGTTGGATCGAATCCCATCTGATTTTTTATTATTTACCTGTTTTCTGTATTTTTCTATCTTTATCCATTTAACTATTTTTTCCAATTAACGCAAATATTTACATGATTTATTTACAACAATTTAATAACAACAAATAATTTTTACAATTAATTATATTTTTTTAATAGGGTTAGGGTTAGGGTCCCAATCCACCATAAAACAGGAGTTTCAGGCACGCGATTTGTATCAACCAATGGGATTTGGGAGGTATGCAGAATGCAGAAGGTTGTTGAAATGATGTGTACGCAACTGCGTATCTGCATATCTGCGCCTAACAAAGGTGTCACTACGCACGACTTAAATGCTACGTTTATAACCGTAGCAACACACCTCAGATGAGCCCAATCGCTCTGCGGCTCTTGTTCTATTAAGCCTGCGTGGGCTAGTTAAGACAGGCATTCACGAGTTGGGGCAATGAATCTTTATTCGCATATTCTGGCGTCATATATGTCATATGGGGCCCATGTTGACTTGGGATCGAATTAAACGAGAAATGTAACGCAGAAAAGCAATTGTTTTAGGAGGTAACTTAAGATATGTGTGAAAACCCTTAATTGCTTCGCTGAACTCCATAGACCATCTATGATAATGATATACGCGTATCTCATGTGAGCGTGTCTGCGTCCCGTAAGAAGCCGACCAAGGCATTTCATACACGTACTCTGCTATTATTTTGTTAAAACGTTTTTATTACACCAGCGAGCAATGCACTCACGCTGTCAGTGTTATAAATAAGGGACCAAGTGTCACCGAATCTACGCGCCAAAACCTATAAACAAACTCTACACTTGTGGCAGTTGTTGCCAAGTCACTCTGCGAGACTGTCTCGTCGCCGACTGGGTTGGCAGAAATAACTGACTTCGTTCGCCTTCTGCCGCACTGAATTATACTAGATACGTTGACGCGAATGTGGTCCACTATTAAAATACTGTTCACACCTTGTTATCGAACCGAGCAGCCATCGCATCTGCATATAGTTAGTCTCCTAGTACCCAGTGCCCTCTCATCCCTCGCCGTCGCACCACTCTTCCATTTCCCCGCTCATATCCTTTACACAATCTCTATCCATCATCTCGTTCTGACACATGTAAGGACGAATTTGGTCCGGCTAGGAGGTTCAAGCGTTATGTGTTGGGGTGAAAATTCTGCTAGGGAACGGTAATCGGTACGATGGCCTCGTTTCGTTTTGACTGTCAGATGGTCCGTGAACTTGGTGCAAATAAATGGCGCTACCGTAGCCAAACAAAGGCGCATAGGAAAGGTCGTTTAATAGCCTATTAAAGTGATGACAGCATGATGCAATCCGATTGCACAAATAGACAGAATTAACACACCCATACACACAACCTCATTCCTCCGAGTTCCTCATTGTAGCTATATGCTGAAAAAGCGGCAAGCTGGGCTGAAAGCTTATGTATATACATAATCATCCACCTCACTAGGGGAAGCCAACTTCACGTACTTGTAAACCCAACGATACCGTGAAACTAACGCCTGCATGGGCCCTCGATCTCACGTACATGTGCAATGTGAACGGTAAAACCTTCCCACGGCATGATTGTGCTACTATCGTGGTCTAGTTATTTCGCGTTAAATACTTTAGATCTATACATTTTTAGCAACATCACATGATAATCCCACGTATCTATACCACAAGCTTCCCCTAATGCGCGGGATGTGCTTTTGAAAACAGCCACTTGAAAATTAGATGGAATGTGAAACTTCAAAACATATACACACAAACTTGCATAACGTTATGGCAATAAAGTGTCAACAAATAAATAATAAATAAACAAAACAAATCGTAAGCAGAAATCGTAGTTTGCTATCATCGCTGCGCTTCTAACTTGAGAACATTTACGCCCGTAATCAAACCCAGGTTGCATATATTACATGGAACCATGTGTCTTAATCACCAGATGCTTCCACCGCATGACCCGTGACGCACAGCGCGCTAATGGTGACAAGTTACTCCTATCTGAATATTGGCCCAAAATAAATTAAAATTATATTGCTAACCGATGATGGGCGGAAATAAATTAGAATTATGCTCGGTAATAAATAAAATACTGCCATAATAGAACAAAGCGTAGCTCAGCACGGGTAAGAAAGCTGCCTCTGCGGACTCAGACGCTACGTATTACGAATTTAGTTTGCCCTGTTCCGCTAATAAAGGCTTCGCAACTCCATCTGGATCTCGCGTCTACGGCGCCGAGGCAATTACGGCTAACCAGTGCTTTCTCATCCGGTTGGCACCACGCATAAAAAATTTGCAACACGACAAAAACACAAAATGCCAGTGGACCCCTTGCATAATTGGCTACATTGCACAATAAACACTCGAACACGCTAAACACGCACGCACACGCAGTTTTCGCGAGTACGCTTTTATGACCGCACGTAGCCATCGTTTGCCCTCTGCCAAGAAGGAATGGCCGCCATAACTACATATTTTGCACAGCCTACCGATGATGCGATTCGGCTATATAGCCACCTGTTATTTTCTTATGAAGGAAACAAACGAAACCGTACAGCTTCCGATCATTTCTTTACATAATAGCTTCATATTCCCGTAAACATTTATAAGCGCGCCCACGCACGCATTCATCAAATACGCTCAACTCTTTCGCCCCACAGCGTACTAGTCCTGCTTCTGTTGAGTACCGGTACCTGTAGCAATTATGCCTTTCGGCCTCAAGTTATGTCTTAACCAATGCAAGCCACGCCTGGTACCCTTACATTCGCGTTGATATCACTCTAACCTGATAATTGAACAGCCTGTAGGCGTTTTATGGCCACAATCTCCGCTATTGTCTCTCGCATAGTTCTAACGAGGGTTTACCTACCCACCTTATTTGTCCTGCTTTTATTACCTACTATTCCGGGCCAGACCAACCTAATTGGTACGGGTGCTACTTCTAAACACGACCGCATATTTCCACTAGGATCTAAATGTCCTCCTCGCTATATCTCCATTGGTAAACCGACCTGTGTTACGGAAGACTGATGGTGGCTATCTCCTTGTTCATTTTAGGAGATAACTGGTCTGTGCCACCGATACAACACCAATCTTTATCTATTTTCATTTTTCGTTACTGAACTATGTGATGACACTCTGTTAATAGTTACTAAATTATTAGTAATATTATTCATTAAACGTACACATACAAGCAAGAAAATCATTTTTCTTTCTTTTTTTTCTAAAACGGAATGAATATTTAAAGGAAAAACAATCTCAAGCAGCACGTTGGAACATACCCGAGCACACGCACGCACACACACGCGCGCGCAGATACACACGTGCCCACACACCTGCACGCGCACACATACACATTTTTACACACGCACACTCGCTATAACACCGTGCCCTAGCCACACGGGCGCATAAAAAAGCACAACGTAAAACAACCCTTCGAAAACCTACGTCTATATATTACTCTTTACTCTACAATCCAAGAAGAGACTAACGAGTTAGCTAGCAAACTACGTGTGTGCGTGCGTGCGTGCCGGTGTGTGTCAGAAAAAAACATGGGCGAATAGTTCCATCTAGCACCCGATATTTCAAGCAAAACAAACGCTATTTACACAAGCTTTCCCTCTAGTTTTTCCTCGCGAAACTTCGCTCATTTCTGACGGGGGAGATGTTGCCATCCCGCCGATCACATACTACTATGTACACTGGAATTCCATGTCCACATAGACGACTTCATGTTTGGCACCACGTCAATTTGGCAAACGTAAGATTTGGAACGCACTGCGCCCATTTGCCCATTCGCCCGATCCCCCCGATGTATTCTACTAATACTATAGAATACTTATTTACTGCATGCGTAGCGAGTCCACACCGAGCTAACTATAAAAAACACTAGACAGTAGATTATATCTTGGTCACTTGTTAATCAATGCTTGATTAGTTAGCATGTAGCATACCAGCACAGTATATGTGTATGCGCTCTTAGTTTAGTTCGCGTCCTGTGATTTTTTTAGACTGTGCCATTGTAAGAGAGGACTGCTGAATCATCACCATCATCATCATCATCATCATCATCATCATCATCATCATCATCATCATCATCATCATCATCATTATCATGTGTATATGACCAGTCACGCTTTACACTTCATGCAGCCACCAATAGCCAATCTAGATATGGCGTCTCCTCCGATCCCTGATCGATGGTCCGTTATTTGTTCTAATCTGTCTACCTCACGGCTATTCAAGATGATGAGGAGGATCATGCAGCTCACAGTCAACGCCGACGATGCCACAATGGAGGCTCCTTCCTCCCTTCACACGGCGCCTGCACGACCGTAATTGCTCCCTGATGGGTGGTGAAAGTAGGTCCTCCTCTGTGGCCATACTTTCGGAAACTTAGGAAAAGTAAGTACTCACAACTACCAGCCAAAGTCCAGTCGAAGACCACACACATGAGTATTTAGACCTGACCCGAGTCTATGTCATCGTAACATCGATCTTGTCCCAGCCCCCGACATCATGTGTCGACTGCTGCGTGAAGTCCATATCATCAAAGTCAAGCAATTCAGCAAAATCAGCGTTGAGTGTCGTCTGCGTCAGCTCCATCTGTGCAGCTTCGTCGTGCAATGTACTTGCCGGACTCGTGTTGTTCACCATGTAGGCATCGACGTCTGCACCCAAAGTGACGGGAGCATTGTTGCTAAGTGGTGCGGTTCCCGTGCTAGGCATGATCACATCAAGCCAGTCACACAGGTCCATGTGCTCGTCGGCGTCTGGCTCAGCGTCACTGATGTCACTAACCTCGAGATGAAAGTCGACCTTTCTCGGCCCCGTCGCTGGTGCTGCCACCTCCTTCCTGGTGAAATGTCCTTCAGGTCCCTGCGCTGCCATGTTCACTGTTACGCTCGTGAAAGGGGAATTGCTGCAGCTGCTGCCAAACGTATTCGTGGTGAATGTGCCACAGATGGGTATCATAGAGGAGCAGCTCGCTGGCGCTATCTGGGGTCCATTTTTCACCATGTTGTCGGTAAAGTAGTTTGCGGTATCTATCCAGGTAGGATTGCAGTCGACAGCCATGCCCTGGCAGCCATCAAGGAATGGAAACTCGGACTTTACCAGCTGCAGCGTCACCTCTCTATCTTGTTCCAAAGAGGCATCAGTGCCCATGACAGCATCGAAAGTGCCGCCTACATGCGACGAGCAAACCTCGGCATTTACCTTCATGGGCTCGACGTTTGATTCCTGCTTGATATCGCTCGTCTGCAGGTTGGCAATGTGGCGCTCTAGCAAGTTGAAGTCGATGTACTCCTCGTCCACGGGAAACTCCAGGTTAAGGTTGAAGTCTGACAGGATGTTGCGGTGGTGGCTGCTGTCGCCACTGGCACCACCTTCTGTATCAGCAACCGACGTGACAGGCATGAGCGGCTGCTGCAGGGCTGATGGCGTGAACGAGTGGGCGACCGTGTTTGCCGCACTGATGAATGCCTCCGTAGTCTTAGGCGTTGGCGGTGGTTCCTGGGCGGCGCTCTCTGGAAGCTCTGCAGGGGAGAAAATCCAACGCACTCGAGGTCACTAAAGTCTCACAAATATGCCCGACAATAAAACTGTCAATACCGCGCGATATTAAGAGAGAGAGAGAGAGAGAGAGGGGGGGGTGAGAGATATATGTATCAATAGACGGATGGACGGATAGACGGACAGATGAATGGGCCGACTGACCAACAGACAGACAGACAGACAGATACCGATCACACTTACCTTAGTGAGGATTTGACGTAGTGCACTAGCAGGGATGAAATGAGCCATTGTGTTGCTGGTCTCGGTGTATGCTTGTGTGTCTGCGCGCGTGTATGCGTGTGTGCGACTTAACTGAGTGTGGATGCCTGGTTGTGGGCGTACGTATATGTAATATACATTACATCATATTTCTGAACAGTCTCACCTCCGTTTTTTATGAGTATCTCCAAAACGTCATCGATGGCTTGGCTTTTGGTGGATGCACTTAACACAGCTGGTAAGCTAAGAGCGGCAGCCAAACTTGGCAGCATCCGTGTAGCTGTGGCTGACGGTGGCCCGCTTGTCAGTGATGCCTGCTGCTGCTGCTCTTGTTGTAGTTGCTGCTCTTGTTGTTGTTGTTGTTGTTGCTGATGCTGCTGTTGCTGCTCTTGTTGCTGTTGTTGCTGCTGCTGGTGGTGGTGGTCAGACTGCAACTGCAGAGTCTGGTTGAACTGCGCCAGGGTTCCTGGCAGTGGAGAAACCTGCTGCGGTTGCTGAGAAAGACGAGGTTCAACCCGCTTTATTTTTACCATTTTTTTATTTGTTATCTTTTTATCTTCTTAACTGCAGCAATGTCTAATAACTGCAACAATGCTTAATAACTACGGTAACACTTAGTAACCACGTCGGCGCTCAGCAGCCACAAATTATGAATTGTAAAAGAGGTAAATCTTACTACATACATCGATAGTTAGCAATAAAAGTACGACGTGTGCATTTTGCCGAATGTAACAACCGCAATGCGAATATATTGACTCCCAGGTCATTGCTGCCCGCTGGTTGACACCTTTGCAAGTAATTTGCACGCTTCCCTCCCCTTGCATCACTTTGTCACACACCTGTTTGTGCTGCTTCAGTTGTTTTGTTGCCTCATCATAGTCAGGTGGCGGCTTGTGCAGGTTGATGATGAAACTGACAGGTGGCAGTGTCGTACCGAGGCCACCGACGCTGACATCGCTGCTTGAACTCGTCATCACCTGGCTGCTGCTGCTGGTAGCATTAATGGCCACCGTTGCTGCCGACAGCGCCACCTGCAGCTGACTGACCGGCATCGGCATGGTCCTGCTAAGATTTGAGACAAGTTAAAAACGAGGAACACGGCTAACAGCATTTTGTGGTGTGACTGTATGTGCTGTAAGAACACAGCAGCTTTCCATCCTCCCCCCTAATTTGGTTAGATTTCTGGCGTAATTGTTACCCTATTTCGAGTGGGTGCGCCAGAATTAATACAATCTGCAAAGTAATCCACTACGTGACGTCGTTTTAATAGTTTAATGAGAATTTTATATCGTTTGCAAAGTGACTCTAATTAACCTGAGCATCGACAAGGGCTTCTCGAAATTCGTCTACTCCGTTTCTGTCTACCCACAATCAATCCCTTACCTGTGTTTCGTAACTCTATTTATTAAGCTGTTAGATGTTGTACTGGTAGTTGCACCAATGCTGGCTGTTGCGGTTGTGAGCGCTGATGGCCTGCTTGTTTTCGTCGTCGTGCCTGTTGGCCAAGACGTCAGCAGCTTCTTCGTAGAAGTAATTGTTCCCATGGAAGATGCAGGGGTTGTCGTCATGGCGATGCTGCGATTGGCAGCACCTTCTAGTGTTGCATTGGTGAGGCTCGTGAGCGCCTGTTGTTGTTTTTGAACAGCTGTCTGCAACTTCTGATGCTGCTGATTGAGAATGTGTTGCTTCAATTGCAGGTTCTTCAGCATCTTTGTATCCTGCGAAGACAGAAAATATATCAAGTAGAATTGCAATGTGATGGGAATACGATGTGCAGATATTGCCTGAAACAAATGGAACAAGGATAAATGAGAAATGTGCTGTTGAATCGGAATAACCTGTGACGTGTTTTGCCTAAAATAAACAAAATGTATTGTAATTAGCTTGCTTCTCTGCGTTTTCCACGGAAACCTCTCTGGTATGAACCAGTTCGTTTCTCATATCACATGTTAATTGTATGGGATGTATGGAGGATGAAGGCAGTCCTAGTATCATACCATTGGGTTGATGCTTCCCTGAAGTCCCATCTGCTGCTGCTTCAGCACAACTAACTGCTGCTGTTTGAGGGCCATCTGTGACTTCTTTAGTTCTCGCTCCAGCTCCTCGATTTTTGTTTGCTGCTGTCGTAGTAAATCCTCGTTCATGAGCACCTGCTTCATGTTCAGGGATCTATGGTGCTGCTGCTGAGTCTGCAGTGATTACACCACCAGCCGCAACAATCACAACCTGAAGTTCTCATAATTGATTAAAATTATGTTTTAAATTTTGTACTCTGATTATCTGTTATACGTCGGCATTAAATAAAATAGCATACCTTTTGAACGCAATTCTCAAGTTTCACTGACATCGTCTCTTCTCCGACATCCATTTTCTCAGTGCTCGTGGTTGAGTCGACGTGGCCCATTGCCACAGTTGAGGGATGCGTCGTTACAGCCTGCATGCTGGTCAGAGTTTGGTTGCTGGATAGGGCTATGGTCTCTACATTTGGCAAGCTCGTGTTTTGTAGGCTAGACATGCTTACAGTTGTGAGGCTCGACAGTCCCATATTCTGCATATTGGGGGTGCTGATGCTCTGGATGTTGGTCGAGCTCTGGATACTAGGGGGGTTCATATTTTGGATGCTAGGCGGGCTCACACTCTGGACGCTAGGTGGGTTCATACCTTGGACACTAGGTGGGTTCACACTCTGGACACTAGGTGGGTTCACACTCTGGACACTAAGTGGGCTCACACTGTGGACACTAGGTGGGCTCACACTCTGGACACTAGGTGGGTTCACACTCTGGACACTAGGTATGCTTCCAGAATGAGGGCTGGCGATACTGATGGAGCCAGTGCATACTCTCACGGGTGACATGATGCTACCGGTATATGATGCAGGAGACATCATCCCTGTCAGCGTGGCACTGCTGACGCTAAGCGGCCCCAACATTACTGGCGATGGGCATATTGGATGAGCAGGACCAACAGACTGCTGCGAACTTGTGGGGCTCATACGGGTGCCATTAACCATAACGCCCGAGTAATGCAAAACTTGATTCGGAGACATGGTGACGTCCATTGCAGAGCTGTCTGGTGACACGGGCATTATCGATAGTCGGCCTCCTGATGACATCTAGAGATCAAAGGAAATTTTTGAAATAATAGCAAGGACCTAATATTAATTCACTGTGTGCTCGCTGTGATGCAAGTATTTTCAGCAGAAATAGCAGCTCCCCCAAACTGAT